CCAGGAATTCCGAAACCAGCGAACGCACTGCACCAAAGCACACAATGCTCTAAGGGGAGAGGCGTTTTGAGAAATTTTGGGGGTTCGTTTCTCCTCTTCGTAAACACTGAGCCTTGCCCACGGCACAGTTAATGGAAATAGCATGCCCTGTTTTATGCCGGGTCATTCTTCCTGCAAGACGTCACGGCGTCTGAACCATCCGCTTCAGAGAGCAACTTGCTCCTGCTAGCTGGGCACAGCTAGGTAAATTGCAACACCTGTAGTAACTAGTCACTGCTCAGTTAAGGTTTCTTCAGCTAAACTAAGGCAGCTTATAAAAAAATCCTGTTTCCAAAACCACATTACAGACTATTTTTTGTGTATTTTCATTCTGCCGGTCCCTGAAGTCATACCGTAGCCAACCCATTCCACGTTTTTAGGGGTTAAATTAAAAAAAAAAAGAGTTGGCAACACTTAAGCTGTCCAGAAAGGGCTCAGTAGCAGTCTGAGTTTTCCCACAGAGCACTGCCTGTACCCTGGATTACTTGGAGGAGCAGCTCTACAAACAAAATAGTGGGTCAGTTTCTCTGACTGTACCATCAGAGACTGCTCTGCTGAGATCACCAACGAGCACAGAAGCATTATGTACATGTGTCCATAGAGATGCTGTCTGCCAACTTATTAAAAGAAAAAGAAAAAAAAAGGCTATTTTAGAGAGGTCAGCTGCTGGGCAGTACTGATTTTCAGTTACTCGCACAAGATTTAATAAGCCCATTACTAACAACAGTGGGGATTTTTCTTCATCCAGGCTTGGAGGCCTGATCAGTTTCTGCATAACTGAATAAATATATTATCTTTCTCATGAAAAAATCCCCACAATCCCGCAGATCAAGCAACTGCAAAGGCAAGTACAGACAAGGAGCTGACTCACTGAGACAGCACAATACCTCTGCTCCTGCTCAGAAGTTCGCTGAGCAGGAAGAGAGTAGACCCGGCATGACTGTCAGTTTAACAGCTGCTATTCATAGTGCCACCAACAGCTGCAAAACCATGAAGAATCATGTCATTTTATACATCTGCTGCTCCTTTGGAGGAAGTTCTGAGCAACTCCAGAGAGAAATGTTGCAGTTGGGGGAAGATGTACGAGGTGTTCGTAACGAAGAGGTGCGAAGCAAATGCATGCACAGGCAAAGACCAGCCCAATGTCACTGTCGCAATTCTCACTGAAGAGAGAGGAACTCATAAGGGCTCTTCCAAAATCAAGTCAGGCCACAAGCAACTTGCAGAGGATTACACAGAGTTGGAAACAAAACCATATTTAACTTGATCCCTTTAACCACTCAACAGTTTCCAAGGCCAAGCAGAGGTCTTGAAGAACTCTCCGTCAAGGTCCTACAGCTGTGCACAGGGAGCTCCCAGCCCAGCTGCAGTCTTTGTAGAGGGCTATAAGACAAACTAAGAATTCCACCTGCCAGTACGGACTTGAACTTTGTAGTCCAAGTCATTGTCAGCTTGGTTTCCAACAGGTTTGACCACCTCCCAGTTCTTACGGTCTCCAATTAGTTTGTAAATTTATACAGTGCTAGAAGAGCTCACATCCCTGCATTCTCCCACCAGGAAACAACTTCAGACATTACGTACTAAGCCTCCAAGTCCCCAAAGGTATGGGACTACAGCAGCAGTAGGGAAAACTTTCCAGCTACAGTTTTTAATGAGAAAGCTTATCCAGAAACTCAGTGGCATACAATCTATATAGACTAGTTCTGTATCTCTGCAAGCAGGAAGCAGAAAATAGAAGAAAAAGAGTCAGTGTCTACCTTCCATCAAAAAAGAAGAATTTGCCACGGCCGTTCTTCTCTCCATGCACAAAGTTTCCCTCAAATCTGTCTGTTGATGAGTAGGTGACTGTACAAAATCCATGGGGCAACCCATCGTCATCTAGATGCCCTGAAATAAATTCCAGACAAGAGCAAAAAATCACATTAAACATCAAACAAAATTGCAGACCTGGTCTGGTTATGTAGACTCTCAACATGCAGCAACTCCCTAGTACAAAACAATAATCTGCATCAAAACATTTGTTAGGAATAATGATCAGAGATTCAGTACAACTCCTGTAATACGATTTGCTTAAAATAAATTAAAAGAAAAAAGGCTCAGGGTAGAAGAAGTGGCAGACAGGAGAGAGAAGAGAAGAAGCAGCAAAAAGACATTTCTAATTGAAACAAGGTTTATACTATTCTAACTTGTGTTAATAACCATCTTCAAAAATACAATAATTATCTAAAATGTGTATTTCCTGGTGAGAGCAGAAAATATTTAGACTTCGATCCACTGAGTAAGAAAAGGCTTGTTTTGTTCTTTTGAGAAATACATGTCTTGAAATAATGTGGGTGTGCCACCTTAACTATATCCACATGAATTTAAAGAAACAAAAGCATGCGGTATCTATAATGCCCTTGTAATGTGTCAGTCAGCTTGCCATTTCACATTGTAAATGCTGCGCTCCAGTGCCTTTCCAATGTGTTCCTATTACATCCCCTCATCCCATTCCCTCTCCCAGCCATATCAGTTTTCCCTGCCACAGCTGGAGACGATGCACTTGGATTTTCATGAGCACGAGTCTGTATTTTACCGAATACAACTGGCCAGCTCTGATTAGGTTAAAGCGCAACAAGGCTCCTATTGCATCTCTGCCTGCCTCTTCAAAGCCAAAAAGAAAATGGAAGAAGAGTGCTTTAAAACAATTGTTATAGCCTAGTTTGCCTGTGTGAACTCTGGAGTCCTCAGCACTGCGTTAGCAGAACACCCCCCGACTGCAGAGTGAAGATGCTCAAGCTCAGCAGGGCTGCTTTCAGCACAGCAACACCACCTGCCACAGGTCTAACAAGCTCCCACAGTGACATTTTATCAGGTATAAATTTTTCCTGAAAACTGACGACAAAATAAAAGCTAGCGTGTATTTATATTTGTCCACGTTTCTAAATAAAATCTGGCCTCTAATCCCCCCAGTCTCTTGGTTACACATACAAAGCCTGTCAGAGGTGAGAGACAGCTCTCGCATCTACTACAGGCTTTGGGTCGAGCTCTTGATTCAAACTTGCTCTAAACTGAAAAGGATTTAACACACATATGGAAAGGCAGAAACAAATTCTAACGTGACAGCGAGTGATTACAGCCCAGGCTAATGCAGACAACAAAAGGCATTTCAGTATTACCAAACCCTGAGTTCCATGCCCAGAGAAAAAAACAAGCTCTGCCAGCAGCCGAGGGAAAAGCCAGCCACCCATCTGGCCTCAGAAGTCCATCTATTGCAACAGGTCCACGGGGTTCTGCGAGGACAAAGGTACCCAGAGGGCACACACATGCCCACGAGTTCTTCTCACATCACCATGACCTACTGCTTCCTTGGGGTGCTGTGCAACCCCACAGGGACATCACAGACGGGGCACGTGGGGCAGCAGCTGGTTAAGAAGCCCTCTCCTATGACCTGCCCTCACCTTTTAGCACCAGAATGCCCAACAGAAGAATGTCATACAGCACAAACTTTCACCTATCTCAAAGTAAAATTTCATTGCATTAAAGAAAAAGAAGAGAAAGAAAGAGACAAAGAACAAGGAAGGAAAAATAAGAGCTAAGTGAATGTTCTTCAAAGTAAGGCTGTGCAGCTTTATCAGCCTTCTCCTGCACTTGCTACACGGAGTCTGGAAATACACTTAGAAAGCAGGTGTACAGGAGCAAATAATGGTGAGGTATCTGAACTCAGCCAAGAGCCAGGATTCTTTCCTTTAGCCTTCCCACACGTGCTCCCCAAAGTTTCTCTCACGCTTGCCCAGCACCCTCTGCAAGCAGTGCAAGTCACTAAGCTGGCAGAAAATTCTTCCCTTTGTTGCTTCGTTCCTGGTTCAGGAGGAGAAAAAAGGTTTTTATTCCCTCCCATTCAGTCGGGACACCTCTTTTTGTAGAAGGGAAAAGTTTTGTTAATTTAACTAAGAGGCCAGTGAAACTTCTAGTGTGAACACCTCATTTAGAACAAAACTAACTACGTCAACATTTATAGCTTTAATTATAGGCTTCGGGAAGGTTACATGGGTGTAAGTTAACAAGCCCTAAACAATACAGTACCAGCTTTCCCCTCATTGGAGGAGCAAAACTTTTATATAACACTTGGATTAAACCCCCCCACCCACATATA